GTTGAAACTTACTGCTGCTGAGTTCAGTAAGGGTATTTAAAGTCAGGGAAGCCTGTAAGCCTTCACAGACAGGTGGCTGAGAATACAGCCCAGATTGTATGCGATAGAAAAGGAATGGATGTCACAGGCTTCAAGTGATCTGCAATACATCACTTTGGGTGGAAAGGGGTATAGCAGGCTTGTAAGAATAAACAAGAATACAAGTGGGCCTCCACTGAGTGAGTCAAAGAGCCTGGGAGGTGCCTTGCAGCACGTTGACCGCAGGTGCAACTCAGGGCTCCTGCTGCAGCAAGACCTGGTGGTGCTGTGAGGAGAGCCCAAGGGTCTGCAGGGGAGACCCATGTCCAGGGTATCCAAGGCTGGGTGAGGCTGCTCCTCAAAAACATACAAAGCCTATGGTTTGAAGGGCTTCCTTCTCCTTGCTTTGCAAGCCCCCTCTGCCCCTTGGACCCTTGCATTTTTTCCTCCCTACTTTAGGTTGGCTTTGGTGCACCAGGCACATGCTGCTGCCCTGCCAAGGGGCAGACGACTGCAACCAGAATCCGTGCTAAAAAGCCAGAGGGTCTGAAGGCCACTTCGCCTCCATGTCTTGCAGTGGGACCTTGCTGCAATGACTTCTGCAGCTGTGCCAGAAAATCCCAGGCCCCTGCCTAATTCACTACCCACATGTGCAGAAAAAAAACAACTTCCTGTTGCCAGAAAAATTAAATAAGTCATAGGCATCAATCACTCCATAACATGCACATTTTTATTCTCAAACAACTTCATTTAGCTTGTTTTAATATAGAACAGCCTGACAGAAACAATGCCTCTTAAATAGCTGTATGGGACTCTTTAGTCAATAGTACATACAGTAAATATTTATTATAACGTAACACAGGTTCTGTTTGTTTCTGTTTGTTTTTGCTTTTTATACTTTGCATTTGATGTGAGTGGGAGACACACCAAATATTGTAAATATTTATAAAGTATTCAGATTTGATATTATTTGCTCAGGTACAAATGGCTCCAGTTACTAGACTGTCACAAATGAGAAAACCACAAATACAGAGCAGCACTGAATGAAAACACAGTGGAAACATGACATAACCACATCTACGGACGGCAGTAAACATCCTTCACAAGAGGGAACTAAATAAAGGTGCAAATATCTTTTTAAAGAGCTGTTTTGGCAGATATTTTAGAGACGTCAGTTTAGTGATGGGGTTTTTGTTCCCCACCTTCTAAGCGTCACAAAAATATCTCAGGTCTAAACTTACTTGCAATTAGCTGCTGGCTATTTTGTTTTTAAAGACAGCCTCAACACAGTAAGTATAGATAGATGGATAAGATGAGATGGGTTTCTTTTTTAAGACATTCAGTCTTGGTTTGCAAAATAAATATCCCATTAGAGATATTTATTCTGCCTGGAGAGAAGTGAATTTTGTTATTCATTTAGGACCGACAGCAAGGGCATGGGCTATAGGGGCGCTATCAGACCTGCCCTTCTAGTTGCTGGTAACCTTCGCGATTCACTCCATCTCTGATGGCCACACACCTTTTACCTTTCCAAGCGATTCCCTTGAGGCTGGGGTTGCAGCACAGGATCTGGCACAAAGCTCTCTGATCATGACAGTGGGGAAGAGACAGAAGAAGGCTGAACCCAAAAGGGAGACTGTGGGAGAGGAGAAGGGACAGCCAGCAGGCAGGCAGCCAGCAGTGCTTTCATATGTGCCCCAAAGCAACCCAGAAAGGAAACAAACGCCCAGCTGACAAACACCTACGTTTCTGTGGCCACTTTTGTTTGAGCATCCCAAAGCGCTTTACTAATACACACGAGCATCACTGGCCTGATCTTACCAGTGGGACAAAACGGTGCCCGTGGGGTTCAGCCTGTCCTGTCTCCACCAAAGCCCAGTACTGCTGAGGTCTTGCTTTGCCCATCCATCACACTTATTTGTGTCCACAGTTTTCATCAGCCACAACTCAGAAGGATTTTTTTGAGGCTGGTAGATGGGTTGGCTTGAGTTATAACCTAGGGTCTGAACTGCAGACAAAGTTTTGGTCTGTGTTTTATTCTGAGCTATTTGCCCAGTGCTAGCTTCTCTTTTAAACTTGCTACAATCAATATTTTTTCCTCACCGATCACACTTGATATATCATTTATTTCCATGGAATAACCCCTCTGGATAAAACATGATGAAGTAAATACCGGAGACAAACACAGAAAACATCTGGAATATGTTTTTCTCTCCAGCTGATTCATCATTTCAAAATGTACTTTAGGCTGAACTGGTAGCCCAAACAGGACTAGGTTTTGATCGTTTTTTCCTCCTTTTTTTGTTATTATTCGTTTTTTTATATATAATAAAGCTCTCTTTTCCCCTCACCAGAAACTCTTGTTTTAGTTTTCCCCATGACATAGTAATGGTAATGTATTATTGGCATGGCCTGTAGTTCAAGGTCATTGGCATTATTATTTTTTTTTCAAATGTATCCTTTACACCATCCAAAAAAGAAGTTAATAACAGCATTAAAACCACCTGTGAACAGTCATTTAAATGCCACGTTTAAATTAACGATAAGTAATCTACACCTCCAAAAAATCCTGACTGACTGGTGGGTTCGCTTTCTCCCTTCCAAACTATGGGCTAGGCACTAAAAATAAAGTGAAATAACACTCAGGTGCTAAACAGATTATGACTCACAGCTGGAGGCAAAGAAATTGCAACTCTATCCCAATTACACTAATTTAATTGGGTGTTAAAAAAATCCTGGGTTCCCAACAGTAGTAGCCAAAGCAAGGTTGTAGACATCTAACAGGCAAGGGAGCCATCTCCGAGTTGTTGGTTTTCTCTTTAATTTTTGTCTGGTGCTGGGAGAAATGCCTGCCCAAGCAAGAGCCCTTTCATGTGAAGTCAGTACTTAACAATAATGTTTCTCTAAGCAGCAGAGAACTCCCGGCCCCACTTGACACTTGCTACTGCTGGCGGGGAGGGGTGGCTTGCCCCCGGCCACCTCCTGCGTCATCCCTTCCAGCATCCCCTCCGTCCTCCATGCCTGTGATGCTGGAGGTGCAAGGAACAAACTGTTTTATGGCAAAAAGGGGGACAGAGGGCAGCAGGCCACTGGTGGCACACCAGGCTCTGTCACTTTTGGGCATGGGGATATCGGTGCTTCCTTGTCCTGCCCAGAAAATGAAGGTGACAGCACTGGGAAGGGTCCGAGCACCAAAAGTGAGCGTGCCCGGCCATGGTGGGGCCCACAATTGAGTGTCTCCAGCCTGTACTAAAAGAACCTGCAGACAGAGATGAGCTTTGACAAGCCCCGAAGCAGTTGTGAGGACCTTTAAAGCAGGCAGGTGTGGGCACCGTGTCTCGCTGTGGCCCTGCCAGCCTGGGAGCTGGAGAGCAGCATGCCGAAGGCAGGATGCGCCCTCCCGCTGGGTGGAAGAAAAGGGAATTACTTCCTCCCTGGGAATACCCTCCTGAGGCTTTTCCCTTCCCCTTTGGTAAGGATGAAAGAAACACGGTCCACCTCCTGTGCAGAAGAGTTCCCGTCCCTCCCCAGCCCTCCCCTCAGCCTCCTGAAAGCGGCGAGCTGAGGCGGGGGGAGTCAGCAAACCAAGAGCCGAGGCCAGGGGGGAGCCAGGACAGCAGCTGGTGGGGGCCTCCTCATCCTCACACAACACCCTATGGCTGGGGAGCCCCCACAAGCTTGGAGGGGGGAGCATGTTTGAGGGGTCACCACTCGGAAAATACACAGAGCAAAGGTTGCTCTGGCCTTGCCTGTCATGGGTTTGGCAGCATGCCTCTGCCCGGTTCCAAACCACCTCCCGCCTGTGACCTGCGTGTTGAAGGGAAGATTTTGCTTCCCAGCCGAAGTTGTGGCCCTCGTGGTGGCAATTTCCATCGTGCCTGATGCTTTTCCTTCTGCCCGGGGCTTGGATTTAGGGAAAGGGAACAACCCGACATCAATTCTTTCTTTTAGAATATAAATAGCAGCGATCAAACTTTCGGCATTGCTGTCTGAGGGGAATAAATAGCTTCAGGCCAAATGTTTTAAAAACCTCACAAATAAGAATTACCGTAAGGAAAAAGAAAACACGTTCTAACGGGATGCATCTAATGCAGAGACTGGTAAGGAACGATTTATAAAGGGACTGCCCGTACAGACACAGAATTACAGACTGATGGCTGGTGAAACGTTATGGGTCCATGTCCTGGCACTGCCAGCTCGCCCTTGATGCTCACGCAGCCCAAGGGGCAGTTTGGGGGGTCTGGGTGGCCGACATCTCCCACCCGTGGGCAGCTTTTCCCCTCCACTCTCATTTCCCTGCCATAACGACGGTGGGAATAGGTTTTCGGACAAGCAAGCCAACAGCCTGCGAGGACCAAAAACTCGCTGCCCGCAGCAATAACCCGGCGAGCTGCTTCCAGCCCGGCCGTGGCACTGCGCGGGTGGGCGCGGGGCCTGCGCGGGTGGGCGCGGAGCGTGGCGGCGGGGGCTGCGCGACGGAAGGTGGCAGTGCTGCACAACGCTGAGCCGCCACGCCGAGCGGGGCTGCCTAGATAAAGTACCGCACTTAGCGTTTGTTTGTAATTCCTGAGGTCTGGGCTAACAAGTTTAACCGTATAAAAATGCTTTTTCTTTTTTTCTTTTTTTCTTTTTTTTTTCTTTTTTTTTTTTTTCTTTTTTTCTTTTATTGCGTAGAGCAAGCTGAAATTAAGGGAAAAGCGGGCAAATCATTTACGAAAACAGCAACGAGGAATACAAATATAGATGTGGTCGGTTTTATGCAGGCACAGAAAACCTAAAGGAGGAGGAAACGTTCCATCGACATCAGCTGAAAATGCAAGAATTCCCACACATTGTTGTATTGATTCTCATACCTATACACGCAGTAGATTTTTCCTGAAATGTTCAAAAAAATATTTTAAATGTAGGAATAAAAATTTCCATAGGCTACTTTGACACTGAAGCATTCTTTCCACATTTGTCATTATTCAGAAAACCCTTTCAGTGTTGTTTTCCTGTTATTGTTTTTGTTGTGTTGTAGTCCCCCCCTCCTGAGTATGTGTTACAGCATCTGTATATTTTCTTTCACAAATAACGGACCGTACACGTTCCGAGTAATGAAGAAAAACATTCTTGACTCCGTTTGCTTCCTACTGTGATCCAATTAAATACATGACCCACCAGAAAGAGAATGATTTTTCATTAGTTTTCAACTTCCCAAAAAAACCTCCAGTGATAAAAAAAATATCCTATCCTTCACCAAAAAAAAAAAAAAGAAAAGAAAAGAAAAAGAAATAAAAGAAAAGAAAAGAACTCAGACTTTTATTTTGTATTCAGTTTACAGCATTCAATAATCATAAAAGCTGCTTTAAAAAAGAACAGGGGGCATTAACTTTCTAAACTTAAAATCATATAGAGTATAATTATACTTCCACATTCTCTGTTATTTGATCTATGAGATATCACGAGGATAATAATTTAGGGCCTGATCCCGTTAGCCTTTCCTCAGAGAAAAGCTGTTCCCCAACATATTTTCCCCTGACCCTCAGGCATTTACCAGGGTACAGATTTCAACGGTGGAGGAATTGGGGGAAGAGCCAGAGGCCCCCAGGCAGAGGAGGTTCTGGTGCTGACTGGGCCCCACCAGCCTGGTTCAAAGCTCCCTGGGGACACCGGGGTAACATCGGTGGCACCTGGGGCAAAGAAAAGGGAGTGGACTCTCAGCTTCACTGCCTGCCACAGGAACCTCAGCATTGAGCAAACGGGAGCTGGAGCCGAGTTCCTAAAAAAAAAAGCCCGCACAGCTTAGCATGAAGGTACCCTTAGCATGAGGATATACAGAATGTATCCGAATAAAAAGGGGAAGTATTAAAATTATAAGCTTACATAAAAATGCTTCACATAGAGGGGAAAAAAAGAGAGAAGGGTCTTAAGTGTAGATGTTTCTCCAAAGCTTAAAGTAAGTCGCTTTTGCTTTAGAAATTGCACCTCTTGGCTGAAGCTGTTATTTGTTTTAGGCTTTTTTACAGTTTCTTGGAAATATCCAGGCTGCAGAAGGGAGGAGAAAACATCAAGAAATATCACGAGTGTGCATGGGGTGGGGGGTGGGGGGGTGGGGAGGCCTGACAATAAAATAGATCCCACACTAAATGCATATTCTTCTATTTATGTATTTGATAATGAGACAGAAATGCCCTTGGCACTCTGTAAACAACAGCTCCGTAACCAGGAGGGAAGGGCAGAATAATGAATATCTACGTTTCAGATTATCAGCTATTTCAAGCACTATTAGCATGCCAGCCTTTTAGATTATTGGGGATTTTCATTTTATTTTAAGCAAACGTTTACCATTCTTAAATAACACTGCAGTCTTAACTAATTGCTGTCTTTGCAGGTTTGCAAGAAGATTATTCCTTGTGAAGCTCCTCTCCTACCAGAAGTTCCCTAGAAGAGAAGTGATAGTTGATTTAAGTATAATACATTAAAAACATATATAGATTTGTGTCAACAGAGCAAAATGTTTATATAAGCGTATTTTACAACATAGGGCTAAATTTAGGGGCTATTCACCACAACGAGTTGGCAACGCTCTCCAGAGCTCTGTAACTTTCGGAAAAGTAGATAGGAAAAGTTCACATTCGTAATAAAAATAGATTTTTACTTTGCTTTTAAAGATGTTTTTGTGCATTTTAAAATATCATTCCCTCGTGATAACAAAAAGTATTTGTGCATCATGCTTACAGTGTCAGATGGTATGACTATTGTATGATTTAAAATTAAACAATATAATTACCATTTGGCAACCAATATTTAAAGTTGAAGTAACTATTTCTTCAGACATTACTTAGGCTGTATCTAAAAATATGAATGAAAGCTATATTTTTGCTGTACGTTCATTTCAAAACCCTGAAGCCAGTGTTTCTTTCATTTTTATTTTTTACAAAAAAAAAAAAAAAGCAAATTACTTCTAAGGAAAATGGTTTTACAATACCTTGAAATACAAGCTTTTCTACAGATGTGCAAGAAAATTAGTATACTGAGACTGTAAGTGGATATCTGTAGAAGAAGGGGGAATATCTTCAGCTTGATTTTAAAACTGAGTTTCGTCCTATGTTCTGATCTCTGGGTACGGAGATGAGAGCAGGGAACGACTGTTAACTGCTGGAAACGAGCATTTCTTCAGTCATCCAATTCAGTGTGTTTAACAGTTTCTAAAATTAACACCAACAACTGTAAAAAAACACTCCCTTCTATTACACTGTGCATATAGGCATCTGGTTTCTTTGAATGTGGCTCATTACCAAAATCTACCACAGCTTTATCTTGGTTCTCCTCTGTTTATTCCATTAATTAACCAAGCCATCATTATCTGTTAGTTACAACCAATTTTTCAGGATTATGGATATGTTGAATTTTGCATATTTATTTTTAGCAGGCCATCACATCTAAGGGAAGAGAGATAAGCAGGATAGGGAATTTCTCCTTGTAGCTGCAATCCTTTTCTGAAGCTCGGGCTACAGAAAACAAAGGCATTTTATTTCCATGAATCTAGTGCAGCTAAACCAGGACTCAGAAAGGTATTTTACTTCAGAATACTTGCATGAATTCTGAAATTGATTTTCAACCAGATGTCTAGAAATGTCCATTCTCCTATTTTCTTGCTTAGTATTATGTTTAACTCATCATTTTTTCTCTCTCCAATAAAAGATCATTTTTCTCGTTCATTTCTAAGCAGTTTGATTTTGTTAAAATAAAGGCGAATAAATTCTTTATTGCAGAGGGAGGCAGAACTTTTCCCCCCTTTTCTCGAGCCATTCCAGCCCCGGAGCATGCCGAGGAGCAGCGCAGGAGCCCGCAGACAGACGGTCCCTGCAGCGGGACGCGGTGCTCCCGGCCCCGCCGCGCTCCGCAGCGAGCACAGAGGCTTCATCCTGAGCACAGCTCCCCAAACCAAAACCACATTGCTCCTGACGCTCATCTCAGATGGCAATTTGGGATAGACAACCACTGCTAAAAACATCTCATTAAAGGCTTAGAGGGAAATGATTTTTATAGGGGGTGAAAAAAAAGACAATAAAGGGACATTCTTACAATTCTTCTAGATGAATTGAAGACTGAGACATTTTTGTTTTATTTTGTTAGCCTTTTCTCCAGTGTTCAGGATTCTCCAGCCCAAGAAAACTATTTTATTTCTATTTTATATTTTTACTGCCTCGTCGAGCCTATAAATGTTGAATTTAAGGGATTTCATAATAATACAAATATCAGCCAGAGACATCAGCACCGTGGAAGTTTTAGAGAATTCTTCAGATAAAGGATTAAAATCTTCTGATGCAGACATTACAATCAAGCAAGTTAAATTATGTCAAGTAATATCACTCGCATGCTAAGTTACCTAATGGAAAAGACTTAGCACATCGTCACTAACAATATTTTAGCTCAAGAAATTTCACTTTGCTAAACTGCAGTGAGATATAACCCACACCAACTAATTTATATTACCAATATCTTGTCTCCCTACTAATAGTTAGCACGTGTATGCCAACCTGGTATGAAGCGCTGCTGTCTCCTAATATGCTGCGGAGGTTACCGGCTTTTTCAGTGGATGTGTGAATCATAAGGCTGTCTTAGCATGAATGCATTTAATTGCATGAAGAGGGTATTTCCCAGCATTTCTCTAAACCTTAGCATAACAGCCCTCTGTTTGTCGATTGTCAGTCACGATCATAGTAGGAAACAAGCAGCAAGCAGGAGCACAAAAGGGGAATATCACTGGGAATGGATCTAGGATTGGTTCAATGGCACAATTTTAGGAAAAACACTGGGAATATTTTCTCATGGTTTAATTTCTTGTTCCCCAAAGAGCACTGCTTATTACATTGCAGGCCCAAGCTCAGACAAGCCTTGGAGCTGCTGGTGGGCAGAAGGCTTTCTCCTGGTCATTGACATGGGGTTGGCCAACCAAAACATGATCGACTTGGTCAAGTGGTTCCCCACATGGACAAACAGGGGCCTCATAACAGGGGGTGCAGACCACGAAGCTATGGGGTGTTGCCTTCGGGGCTGCTCTCCCTGGGCTGAAAGAGCTGGTTTTGTGCAGATGGTCACCGATGGGTACCCAGGTCACCCTTACAGCACACAACTTCACTTAATTCAGCAACGCTCAGGTCCCCTCATTCCTCTCACCCCAGGAACAGTGAAGAGAAAACCAAACAGGATTTTGTCCCTCCACGAGGACATTGTACTGATTGGACATGACACTACAAAGCCCATACCGGACCTGGGTGGTATCCTCATTGTCCCTGTTGCGGGGAGTAAGGCAAACAGGACAGTGGTGCACTGAGACAGGGAGAGAACTGTGGGATCCTGCAGCCGTTGCCTTGCCTGTGCCAAGTAAAAGATGCTTTTCCCCTTTTCATTACACAGGTTTCTTAATAAAAACCGAAAGAGTGTGTTCTTTCTTTTTTTCTCTCTCTCCAGAAAATGAACCCCAGGGGCCCAACCAGTGAAATACATTAACCTTTCAACTGTCAGCCCCTCTCCTCTGAAATTAAGCAATACCAGCCCTTGGAACAGCTAAATTACCTTCATATTTTTTAATTGTGCAATGATGGTCCAACAAAAAAGGAGCAACTCAGGACTAGTAAATATTCAATGAAGAAATTTATTGTAGTTCTTATAAAGGGAATACCCACAGCTTTCTTCACATGGACTTAAATAAGGCAGAAACTAGAGCGATAGGCATAAAATGAAATAACGGATGCATTATTTCTAGTGGGATTTACATCACCATTTGGTCTAATTATTCCTGATATTTCACCCATCATATTAGAAGCTTCTTCAGGGAAAGAAATAACAGTTTGTCTCCTTGAGAACAAAGAACAAAGTGTCTCTTTGCTCTCAAGAAGCTCAGCTATCATTATGAAGAGAAAGAATCTGTCCATTATCAAGAAATCCCACTAGAAATCTTGAATATCTTACCAAATAATTCCTGAGCACACTAAAAATACCAGCAAATGAAAGAAGCAGAAACTATGGGACCTTGAAAAATAAATAAATAAAACAGGGATCATGGATGCTTCACGACCCACTCATTTTTGTGTCGCAAAACAATATTAATCCAACGAACAAACTGTGCCTGGCATGTACAGTTAATCTAAGCAAGATAGCCACTGCTCCTTTCTACTCGTTGTTCAGTAAGGCACACTTTCAGCTGTATCTGTGGCCCTGGATTAACTGGTGGGAATTCATCTGCATATATTTGCACGGTGAGTAATTTGCCATGAGTGATTATGTATGGTAGCCACTCATAAGACGTATGAACTTTTTTAGATCGGATTTCATGAGGACCGGATTTTAAGCTTTTGGAGGAATTTAATACAGATCTAGGACTTTGCACAGCTTTCAAGAATATCATTTCTTAGACCAAATGTAAGAGGTCTTTGATCTGGATCTTGCATTTAATACTGCAGTATCAAATAAGAAGCATTTTAAATGAGTGTACTGAGCCATGGGGTTCAGGCACAATAATTTGACAACTTCCTAAACAGGATCTTGCTGGGTCAACTTGTGAACCTGGAATTTCTCTGGGTCTATGGGAAAGACTGTTTCCCAGCATCCTGCCATGATCCCGCACCTCCAAAGGCGGTCACACCCTGAAAAATGAAACAAAATAAAACCTCAGCATGCAGAGATAAGAGGTCTGAAAATGCCAGGTTTATGGAGGCCATATTTTGCTTTTTTTGTAAAATAAAGGAACCTATCAAAATCTTTCCAAAGGTCTGTTTCAGTCCCTAAACACAGACATATGCCATTGAGTCACTGCCAAAGGGGATATTGAACATATATGGCCTTGTATGTAGGTTTTGTTTAATAAAACATTCAACTTTATTGCATGTGAAAGTCATTGGTCCTTGAAAGCAGAGTTCTTGAGTTGAGCTGGGGCAGCACAATTCATACTGGTACCCAGTGCTGAATGTCTGGGAAATGCTGCCTGTTCACTGGTGTCAGCAGATCTCTGTTCTGGGGTGTGGAGTGGGGTCCTGCCCCCATGGGGGGATTCACAGCAACACATCGACATTCTATGAAAAATTACACGTCTGCTCTAATCTGTGACAAAACAGTGTGGAGTTTGGATATGGACTTTTTGTGGTTACCATGGCCCTGCAAAGCATCTGTAAAGGATCCAGTATCTCAAGGAACTTACTGCCCTTCTCTTCTATTGAAAGCAATTGCAAGTGGGACGCATGCCCTAAGATGTGATGTTAGTGAAAGCTGAGCACAGTCCCAGATTGCAAAATCAGGCCAGAATGATGAAAACATTTGTATATGTGCTACCCTTTTATTTTCTTTGGCATGCTCTAAATAACCTCTGACCTTTTCTTTCCCCATGTAAAGCTGCTCTTTGTTTGAATGGAAACAGAATGTGAAAATGATGACAAGAGATTTTTGAAACAAACACAACAGCAAAAACCAAAAGCAAATGAACTTTCACAGAAATTTAGTACCCTATCAAACTCTGATACGTGGATGAAAAGATCAAGTTCCAGGATTAGAAGAGATTTTGTACAAAGGAAGGTGAGAAATATTCCTGCTCTGTTATGGGGGTGAAAAGGAGCCACGCTGATCCATGATGGCAGCACATGGACACACATTTGCTTAGGTGGCAGTGGAGCACCTCCAGGTTGAGCCATGTCGCTGGGAAGTGTTGTCATTTCCACTGAGCAGCTAGTGGGATTTCTGGTTTGACATGAGGAAAGATGGTTGTCAGAAATAGCTGTAAAACCTGTCATCACAATCACAGGCTTCCTGCAATTCCTTGTGTTATCCTTATTTTTTTCTGAATTACAGTTTTCTTTTACTATAGGTGAGGACAGGAAAACTTACTGCTGAGCTCTTTTCAATGGTTCAGCAAACTAAGTTTCCCTGCTGTTTCAAGACTACTGTGGCATGCCCAGGTATGGGATGAAGGTACCATGGAAACTCATGGAAAGTGCAACAAGTTGGTTCAAGGCAAGATGCTGAAGTTTAGAATATTGGCATCTCCAAAACAGCCCTTTCCTTTGTCTGTCACATTTGCTTTGGTGGTTGGGGTGGATGCACTGCTCTATCTTCGAGCTCAGCTCATCTTACTCACTGGGGAACCTGTCTTTCCCTCTTGGTGCAATCCTTTTTACATGAACTTGAGTTCAGGGGGGGTAAGAATGGCAATTACCAGCAGACCAAGGGAGCTGCAGCATTAAGACAAAGCAGTTTTCTCCAGAGCTGTTTGTGCCAAACACATGTCAAGGACAGAAACAATATTCATTCCAATGCAATCAGTGCAAACAGCTTTAGAAGAAGGAGAGTTTAAGTGTTCACAACTGGTTTGAGTTGCAGGACAACATCCTACAGTAAGCAAGAGGTTGGTGGCATTTTCCTGTGGTTAAAGCACACAGAAGCACCTTCTCCAGTGTTGAGCATGGAGAAGGCCACACAATCTCCCATATGAGGTGCAGGGTCCCCTTCTCCCTCCCTCCACCTGCACACACCCTCAAGTCTACCCAAAACCTTTGCTTTCTCATTTCTCTCCTAGGAAGTTGCCCCTTACACCAAACAGCAATTTTGAAGAGCACCTGAATTAACAGGATTGTTCCAGCTCCTATTTCTCGTTCAAGTGTAATGTGAGATTAGCCAGACTCATTAAAATATTATCAGTTTCCTTGCTTTGTGATACAGCTCCTTGCAGGCAAGCCTTGGGACACATTAGGGTCCTTGTCAGGTGATGGCTGGTGGGTTTCTGCAGTTGGTGAATATAATCAGATTTCATTGATGTCTGAATCATCATAAATTTTAACAGCCTTGATGTTGTTTCAAACACCCTATGTGCTAGTGCAGTCTGTCTACAGTTAATATCCCAACATCAAGAGGTCAGAATCACCTCATCTCAGTTATTCTGATGTGTTTTTTTTTTTTTTTTGTCTTTTTTTTTTTTCTTGGGGTGGGCTGCTGGGCGAGTCTTGCTTCTCTTGTATTTGACCCATTCAAAAGATTTTACTTTCTTGCTTCCAGGACCCATTAGAAAAAAAAAATCAAGGCGTGATATTCCACAGATCAATGTGGACTACTGCCAAACTTCTATCCCCAAATACATTCATTGTTACTCTCAAAAAGATATTGTACAGAAAGAATACATGTTCTTTTAAATATATTTTTTGAAAACTGAACTACTGTGTGCAGCACGTTTACTAAGAACTCTTAATTATGTTAGTGGAGAGAGCTCATGCACTCATACCCATGTCAGCAACGTCTCTCACTTCATCTGGTTTAAAAACTATTGTATTTAGAAGTGAAGGAGGAATCTAAACCTGTATTTGCATATTCAGATTCATTATACAGTTTAAAAAAAAACCTCTCACTTTCTAGATGCTCTAGAAATGTTAAAAGTACAGTCCATTTACAAAAAGGTTCAGCAGGGTTCAAGACCAAAACAAAAATAGACAGTTGCTTGGACTCCAATTACTTTTCAAGAACTACAGATAGTCAGGATCAAAGGCATTAGCTGCAGAGGAGGCTTTTTCAAATTAAAGGCGACTACTTTACTCAAAATGAGGTCAGCAACAAATTTTGCTCCAAAATTAACAATCACTAAATTAAGGTGTGTGCCATCTCATCAGGAAACAAAAGCAAAACTTTACTGTAAGTATTTTATATCCAGCCAAGAAAGGGATGCACAGTTATCAAATAAAAAACAGGTCTTTTGTCTTCTTCAGATTTAAAAAGCCAAAGCAGGTTGGGAAGAGCTGAAGTATTTCCTTTACTTTATTGGTTCCTAAATGGAGTGAAGGAATCTAGGATTCAAATTAATAATCCTAAGAGCTCCCAGTGCTTCAGGGACTAGGGGCTGTTTTGAGCATACCGAGGCTTAGGGACCAAGGTTACAGGTCTTTAATGTAAAAGCAAAAGCATGAGCTGAATTTCCAGCAGAGGGGTTGTGCTGGGAAGGTTTGTATCAGCAGCATACCCTAAGTGGAAAAGGTGAGCACTTTTGACATTGTTTCCATCACACCCACAGGCAGCTCTGAGATCTTCCAGTAGAGGCAGGTATGTCTAATGAGAGCACGTTCAAGAAACAGCAGCACAAGAAGCCATTGACAGTGCCATGCTGGAAAGCAAAGCTGTCGTGGTGCTTCTGCAGCTACAGCAGCTATTCCCCCTTGCCTTCTTATTAATTGTGTTAAAACAGTAAGTCATAACAAGAAGCTCAGGGCCAAGCAGAGCCTCATATCTCCATTGTTTTAGTGATTTGTTTTTTTCCTTCCTATTTATTCTCTACCTGAATTGCATCATTTTAGGATGAAATTTAGCAGTATCTTAATGGTCTACTACTTTCCAGTAAGTGCACCATTCACCACATTTATTGAAAGTACGGGAAGAATTTACATAAGCAAAGCATAATACCCCAACTGGGACTTTGGTCACTGCATCTTCAACTTTGCTGGAAGTGGCACAAACATCTTACATATTTCAAGTGGTGTTTTTTTTTTTTTTTTTCTCCTCAAAACATTTTCAAAGTCCTGTGTATTAACCTACATCTGCTCCTGTTAATAGGAAAGGTAACAAAAGAGAAGTCAATGGTAAGCACTTCTAAAACTCCCAGGTGAAACAATAAGATTTTGGTTGTGTGTCAATCAAAGGATGCCTCCAGCATGAATTCCTCCACCTTTAAGCAAAGACAGTCATGCAGTATTGAAGCAAGGGGAATATACCACCCCTGAATTAATGCTCACACTTACTGAAGCCTGATGGCAGTATTTGTCAGACTCCTGCACTGGGCTGTGCTGCTGAGAACAAGCAATGCAATGTGATTAGACTTTAAGCACGATGCACAAGGCGGATGAGAGGAGAGGACAACCATTTTCATAACATTATGCCTCAAGTAGATATAACCTGGTTAGGCAGGGTGGAGAAAAAGGGGAAGTACAGCTCCTGAATTGCTCCTTCAAATATTCTGTAAGATGAAATCTCCCAGCCTAAACCTTATTCCTACTGGAATCACCCTTATAAAATCCTGTCTTCACTGTGAGACAACAGAGAATCAGACTTGTCTATACCTGAAGTTTTGTGGACAAAATTTCCAGGTTAACATTCCAGGTTAAGAGGCTGCTTGGCCTATCTGCTTATCCCATCTTTTCCCTCTAGAACTCCATGGTACAAGAAATAGGATTGCAGGTAGGTACACAGTGCAGTCTCTATGCATTACTAGTATTTAGTTTCCTAGGACTTTGCACCAACCCCTTCCAGCAAAGAAGGGGACAGCAGAGAAGCAATACAACTAAGACAGCCCTGGTATTTTGGGGACATGCCATGCACCACATTGATTCAGTGAGTATTTGATCAGTGAATGCCCCAAACACAGGTAGGAAAATATTTAAAGGAGAACTTACATGGAAAGTTTTGAGAACAGCTGGGATCCCCTTAGGGAAGGAGAGACTTCAGCAGGTTTTAGATGTGCATCACTAAACAACATAATCTGAGGACAGAAAATCCTTGGCTCCTCACCAGTCCAAGAGCCCCCTTTCATGATATAAGGCCCATCTCAAAGGGAAATAATCAAATCCACTTCTCTGTTTTTCTGTAAGCTAAAATTAACGTAGCACTTACACCTACAGAAGTACAAAAATTCAGAACAATACCTGGGCTCACAGGGTTTGTTGCTCCATAGAAGCAGTCACATGTATTCCCTTTGATAGGAACCCTGTTTCTGCTCAGGGAAGCTATATCGCTACCCCTGGCAAAGGGCTCTCTGATATGTGGTACTCTAGTGCCTGTCTTTCAAGGTTCATCACTAGCTGCTGTTGCATTCAAGTAGAGTTAAGAGATGACTTCCCACAACAAACCACAAATTTTCCAATATGAAAGCCCCAAGAGGGCAACTGCCTCTCTTTATATACAGGAGCCACAGATACCACTACCACCACCCAGCCCAGTTGTGCCTAATTACCTCATTTTTATAGATAATGACTGACATCCTAGTAATGAGGACTAGGAAAGAAAGTTCTTAATGCCTTGAATGGTTTCTCCACTCACAACAAAGAAAGCCTGGGACTATGTCTAAATCAAAGCTAGTTATTGTAGAGGAGAGGGGGTAGGAAATAAAGTGTATCCATAGAAAATGCTGGGCTATCTGGCATGCTGAGCATCCCAGAAGAAGCTCACGACAGCAGAAATTGGTCCTCAGCACATCTCCCACCCTGATACCCTTAATCATAAGTTTCTGCAGGTCTTCCCAAATTCAGGTACTCAGCATCCTTTTCCACTGCCACTGGTGCTGCAGGCTGCAGTGAAGGGATGTTCAGCAGATGGTGTAAACCCATGTATAATTTTAGATTTTTTATTTTATAATTTAATAATTTAATAATTTATTTTATAATTGAAGATTTATAATTTTATGTGTCTGCAGCTACTCATGCACTTAAGTGCCATACCATAAATGCCTAGAAAAGTTCCTGGAAGGAGTGATCAATCACATCCTATCTGAGTTACCTCTTGGTCTCTCTGTTTCCCCTGGTTCCTTTGTTACACTTCTCACATTTGTATACAGACAACTCAGAAACTTTCCTAGGTGACCTTTGAATGTCTGTCTTTCTTCCTTTGTTCCATTTCCTGAGTTTTTCACTTAATGTTCTCTCTGCACTTTTTTTCTTCTCTGTGGATCTTGCATTATTTGTATCATCACTTAAGATTTTTTCCCTTGTTGTCCAAGTGTTTACTTCAGCAACCTCTTCCTCTCTCATGGTCTCTGTCCCTGCTGAACAGAAAGCCTGGCCTCACCCTTCTGCCCATTTCTTTAAAAACTTTTCTCTGCGGAGTTTTTTCTGGTGGTACGTTGGTTTTCTTTCTGTTCAAATTAATTCCATCCTACCTCTTAGTGACATGTTCCAAAATAAGCCTTAAACGTCCCATAAAAGTAAAAACCTCCTACGTAGGTCCTGATCCAAAGCTGATGAAGTCAATGGAAAGACTCCATCAGCTTCCAAAGATTTGGTCTGATTTACGCAACTTTCTGATATTTTCTTGTGCACATGCACACGGTTGCTATTTCTAAACTGTGATTTTCACATTGCAAAATATTTGGGACTCAGTTCTCAAAACCTTGTAGAATTGTGTAAAGGAAAAATGTGTGTGTGTGGGGGGGTGGTGGGGTAGGGGAGCGGGGAGATTATTTTAAGAACAAAATAAAAATTTGAACCAAGAATAGGGAGGTATTATTAAACAAGAATTTTACTTTGGATGTGAGTCTTTGTGTTCTGGAGGACAGACTGGCTTCCTGAAACTTCCTGAAAAAGGCTTCTGCCCTTGGGTATTTTCTCTTCCCAATATAATGGCATCATTCATTTCTTTTCCCTAACAAATTTGAAAGTAACCCTAGAGACTTCCAAAAGGGTATGTTTTCTGCAGGTGCTGAGCACTTATTGAAACTCCTAATGCGTGCTGAATATCTTGATGCTCTAAACTACAAGCACCAAATCATTATATGTTTTTGAATCTTTATACCAATGCATTTTGTTCTTTAGTTCAATATTAGTGGTGGTGTTATGAAAGTGAAAAATATTCTCATGATTAAAGTTTCAAAACTAGCTTCAGAAACATTTGAGAAGTTCAGAAACACTTCAGAGTTGGGTGAAAAAGTCACTTTACACCTCATTGCAGCCCAGCAGTTCTGATTCACCTTGCAGTGGCTTTGCTTCAGGTCTGTCATTTTGGTCTCTGCAGAAAGCAAAAGTCCAAAATTGATGAAACACAGAAGCTTGAGAACATGAAGCTCTCCTAAAATAGCCAGAGGAGGCTTATTCCTGCTAACTACCTGGTAGAGGCAGTGAGTTTTATCATAATAATGGTGAAACATTTTTAATATCAAAAAAAGAAAAAAAGTGTGGCATCTGAGTTACTGCGGAAATTTTACTTGCAAAGCAGAAGTCTAGAGAGTCAAAAGAAATGTCATCTTCTTGCAGTTTGGCCTTTCTGCCACCATCTTCTCCATTGAATACTTTGTTAGTGACACCTGTATTATTATGTGATAAGAACTGAATCCTCAAACTTTAATGAAGGCCCTGGAATAAATTCCAATTTGGAGAGAAAGGGTGTTTCAGCACACAGTACTGTAACCTCTGCAAGTTCTTAGGTAGAGATTCTTCAAGAAGAGGACGTGGTACACCTAACTGAACTTTCTTCATTTTGTCCTTCTGAAGTAAAGAGCTAAATAACAAAAAAGTATTTTGTGTTTCTTGACAAAAACCAAGTTCCATCTTTTATAACACTCTCAGCCTTATACAACTTATTTTGGTGTCTGATTCCAGCTAAAATGGAAGTTGAATCAAATATATGTGTTTGTATTGATTTTAAGGTTTGATTAGCAAGGAACATCAACCTGGGTTTAATTTCATGTCTACAGTCACTGAACTAAGCAGGGGAACTCACGGTCACAATCTAATGTGTATTCATGAGCATTTTTTAAGGGCAAAGAAAAGGGTAACCATCTCAAAAAATCTTGAAAGAGTTTCTCAGGTGCAGTGGGCAGTATCACTATTATAATAAATAGTGTGTGAACAGGTTTTCCATTGGTAGGAGTGTGAAAGGCTCCACTGAAACACGAGGTAACAGATTTACAGGATCTGAGCACCTGTTCTGTCATTATCACAAAGTTACTAGCAGAAGTTGGACAAAAATTGCAAAAAATATGTAAAAAATAATTGAATCCCTCCATAATCTTTCTTCTCGCCTTTTTATTTATTTTTTTTAAACTTGATTATGAAGAGAAATGTAAACTTTCCAAAAGCAACAGCAACACTTTGTCATATTTTGTTTTCCTCATCTTAACACTTTTACAACTTTTTAAAAGAGATTTATTTTCTGGGTGCACAATTGAAACTAATATGAATGGAGAATGAGGGGAAAACTGTAACCATTATCATCACAGTATAAGTCTGTACTGCTTGGAAGCCACAAAGAAATAAAGCAGAAGTGGCAAAAATCAAAATCCTAGTTGTTTGAAATGTTCTGACTCTAAAAATAAACAAAAAATATTATTTTTGTTACGTTTCATTTCAGATCATTCTGAAAAAAATGGGAAAGATTTTTTAAAAATATTTAAAAACTGATTTTTAAAAATTGTTTTTATAATGTACCTTCTTTTTGACAAGAAAACTGCAAAATATTCTCTGACACATCTAATGTCAGTATCTGCATTTTCTCTCATTTTTCTAGTCAGGATTAGAAACAAAACCAGACAAAACAGAACAATGTTAAAATCTGTAATCTTTCTGACAGTCTCTGACAGCTTGAAAGAAAAACATGATAACCCTTCTGCAACTGAAGCCCTGCTTTTGGTAAGGGGACATAAAACTGAACCTGAGGATCCTCCTTGTGCAGGCACAGTTCAGCATCATCTCTGGTAGCACAGAAATCACACTGGGGGACCAGCTAACAAAATATGCAGACAACCAAACCGATAATTGAAAAAAGAAGGAGCTTGAGAAAGGGAGTGTAATAAAGAGGAATACTTTGTCACATCTTCTCTCCTTCTCTTTGTCTTCGTCGTCCCTTCACGTTCAGCTACGTGGGCTGTATTGTGTGAACTCGTCTTTGATATCAGTGGGGACATCTACTTAAAAATTGATGTCATGATATGGCCCCAGGTATTTAAATTAACGAGATATTAAATGCTCTGTAGTTTTATCTGTAATTAGATGACATGGATGCAACGTGATCCCAGGAGTGATTTGTAATATTCCATATCGTCCATGTAGGGCTTGGGGCCTGATCCACCGTCTGCTGACATCTGTATGAGTCTTTCCTCTGACATTTTTTGAATCAAGGCCCTTGGCTCGCTCACACACAACTCTCATTTATTTTTCTATCTGTTTATTGGCGTCTGTGCAGAGATGTCTGATCTCTCCACTATCTCAAAATATTTGGGCTTTACATCAGTGAATGTCCTTATTTTGGGGGTAATTTCAATTAATTTTTAACTGCTTTTTTTCTCTGTAGTTATATTTTGCCTTTTCATTCCTGGCTAATTGTCAGTTTTTGTTCAATATTTACAAGTTTTGCATTGAGCAGGATTTCTTATGCTAATCCTCTTCATTTAATATGCTCACAAGAGATGGTTGAAGAAAGTTGGAAGTTTTTAGAGAAAAAAAATCTGTAACATTCCAACTTTTTCAGGATTTTTTTTTTTTTTTAAACACAAAAGGATCCATTTTTACCCTTGTCCTGCCCAGATGAACCCAGTTCTAATCTCTGCCTGTATCCTAAGACTACCCATGTCACTGCATATGTAAACACATCACTGTCACTGCTGGCTGTGCCTAGCAGCATCCTTGGCAGGACTGTGACTTTCCATTTCCAGGAAAACCCATGGCACGCTCTTGTCTGCGGGTCAGACAAAAGTCAGTGTGGGAGCTGGGCATGGGGACCCACCTTTAAACTTCGTCACTGCTTGAGCTAGATCTTTCCCGGACAAGAGGGAAGGCAGGGGGTGGGTTAGCACTGCTCGCAGCACCCAACACCAAATTTCCCCAAATATCTCAAGTGGTTATGATCCTTGCCTTGGCATGGAGAGCAGAACTGATGGGGCTGGGAGGCTGCGAGCTCCCTGGCTGGGTGTGAAAGCCCTTCAGAGCAGATGAAAGGCATTAGGATTATAGCATTAGGAAGTTTCAAATTATGTGAACGTTTTGAGTAAATAAGCAATGAACTGACAAGGAGGGAGAGAAAAACAAATGGCAGGAGTGGAAATAGTATGCCCCTGTGCCCTGGGCATTGCCAGGATTGCTCCCAGAGGGAAATTCGCTGTGCTCAGCCCAGCCCCATTTCAACACCCTAGGGGAGGCCATTCCACAT